ATAATGATATATGAGCGATTGAAGCCACCTCTCTGTAATCATTTATAATATTAGATTTGACCATGAGCTCCTGACAACATAAAGCATCTATAACACAATAATTTACAATTTTATGCATATGTTTTTTGGAAGAGTCAGAAGTCCCTTCCCTTGCTTCTGAATAATACTTCCATAATTTGCTTATAGGCATATCAGCTTTGCCATCAAGACCACACTTTTCTAAGAAGAATTTGAGTGATGTTTTCTCAGAACAGGGATGGAGTTGCATAAAACTTGCGTGAACGTCAATTGGTACACATCCAGAGGGTTTAAGAAAGTAGGATTCAATATTTAAACTAGGATGGATTTTGATCTTAATGGATTCTCGACATCCTGTTTTTTTACGATCCTTATCTAGTAAATTCCTATCTGTATTTTTTATCTATTGTGAATCTCTCTGGAAGAAATTACTGCTAGATGGTTCCCCTTTCCCCCTAAAATAATTCCAAATAAGAATAGAATTAGTATTGGCTTTATTATAGAGTTTCACTGACATTCGCTGAACTATCCATTCGAGAACCTTTAATTTGGTGACCTTTTCTACAATAAAAGGCTAATCATATCCTGAATCATTAAAACTAAGCTGGATATCTGGGGCAAAAGATTTCCAACATAAAGCAAAAGCTTTTAATAAATTGGCTTGATTCCCATATATAATTGTTGTCCAGTGCGGGTCTGAAGCTATCTCAACATTATCAAAACATATTTGTTCTAGTGGTTTTGGGTTGTCTTTCCAATGTAGGGTCATGCAGATCATAAAAACTTGGGACATATTATTTTTCGCTTCTGGAAAGTTTTCTGATCCACATGAATCATATGTTTCTATGTCCTATATTAGAATTAATGCTCGATTGTGAGTAAAGAGAGAAGATGAATAAATTTTGTAAAGTGGTTTGAAATTTTCTATAGGGCGAAAATTATTAATGTGGACATAAAATGCATGTGGGCAGTGATGGAATCTCACATAATAAGGTGTACTATTATTATATTTATAGTTACTTATAGATCCTCACCCAGAAAGTAGTATTCTATATTCTCTCGTAACTTTACGATAATATGTGTCTGTATCATCTGAAGCTGTCTCTATTTTACATTCAGGACTAACCTTTGAATTGTAGCTTGAGATGATATCAAGAGCAGTAAACCTTTCGTCTTTATTAGGTATGATAATACGGAAATACAGCTTTTTTTCTGCATAAAAACTACGGATAGGAAACGCCTTTATACATTCCATCTGGATTAGATTCATATTCACAGTGTTTCCACTACTATTTTTTCCAGTAGTAAGAATACCCTTTATTTTGGACCAGAATTTAGGAATACTTGTATTATCAGGAATACGAATATCAAAAAATACCTTAATACTAGTAATAGTTATGATTGCTTTCTGACCATTAATGAGATACCCGTAAAGGCAGAGGACATAATAAGGGATATTATTGATATATTCTTTAGCTTTTTCTATATCGACTGGCATAAATGAAATATCTTGATGATTCTCTATTTCATCATTAAGAATTGTAGTCGAACCCTTATTATTTTTCGCAACTAGTTCATTACGAGTTGGAATGCCTATCAAGTAATTCTCGCTAGAATAATGAAGTACTTGACTAACTTTTTCTTTTTCAGCCTCTGGGTGAAAAAGCGAGACAAAGATGTCGAAAAATTCTGAAAGCTCAGATTGAGACATGGTATTATATAACAAATATACAGTTCGAGAAAAAGTATATACTTTGGGAGAAAAAAGTTCAAAATGAAAATTAATTCTGAAATATATAAATCGATACATAATCGAACTATTCATAGTTATCAAAAATGGCATTTTATCGATGTCCATATATTCTCAG